TGATTCTTGCGTAAACTATTTTAATTGATTTGTCACATCTTATAATTTGAATGAGTAATGACTTCTTTTTCTTTTATCATTTAAACTTAATTTTTCTAATCAATTTATATATTTGAAATTTTAAGTGGAGGTGCCAACAATATGAATATGGTTTTTTTTATCTACAAATAAAAATTATTATTTTGAGTACTAATTAAGAGTATTCTAATTTTCAACACAATACACACAAGAACTAGTTAGAGTTAGTTGCAATCAAAAAGTGATAGTTAGTCCTGCACAATTTATAATTATTAATGAGAGGCAAATTTCTTAATATTAGGATAAGGGAAATAATTTTAGGGATTGATTCTTTTTATTCATATGAGTTTCATGATATTAAATGTATCAATTCATTTAATAACATGTGAAAATTATATCAAAAGATGGTATAAAAATATTATTCTTTTTTTTTGGTTTCCCACCTGATATCCGGGGCTTCGCCTTAACTACTCCGGATTCGACCAGCTGTAGCGCACCAGAATGATGGGTGGGTCTTCTAACGAAAGTTGCTGCATACACAAGGTCTCGAACTCGACACCTTGCTTAAGCTGGAACAAGCCGCTTGTCACTTGATCCAACCAAAATATTATTCTTATTACACCACCCTTAGGATAACTCTCCCTCTATTAATTAATAATTATAATACGTGCGGTTTGCATAAAATGAACAATAAAATTGTTATCTTTAGATACAAAATAAAAGAAACATAGCTAACAGAAAAAAATATTAATATTAGAAAACGCAAACCAAACAGCCAAAAATCCCAAGACATCAAAGTGGAGGAAACTACCATAGATACAACAAACCCACAAAACAAATTCCTCACGTTTATTCTTCTACTCCCACAAAAATGGTAACTCAGTCCGTATCCGTTGAGAAGAAAATTGGAAAAGAAAACAAATTTCTATACCTTTAGCTCTTTGTGTACTCTCCTTTTCCATTAATTCCACAACAATTCATAAATTTATTATAGGAAGATGGTTTGTATGGTGTAGTACATAATATTTACTCCCAAAAAATTTATTATTAGGCCACGTTATTTTGGTTTTTGAGAGGTTGGCCTGAAAGCTTTAAAGAAGCTTACGTGGCCCAATGAAAGGGGAAGTGTTGTCCGGAGAGTGCAGAAAGCGAGTGCCCCTAGCATTCCTCATAATTGAAATTTGGTTTCAATGATTTTGGAACCGTAATTCTTAACCCAAATATTGAACTATTCATATCCGATTCGGCATAATACATAAAACTTGGTTTTTTATTGACTTTAATTAATCATCTTCGGAATTTATAACAATCTCCACGAAATCAAACATGACAGTTTTAGAGGGACCACAAAAACAGACACAGGCAAACAACTACTTTGTTTTAAGTATATATATGTAAATCATGAATCTAATTATCGCACTTGTTAAAAGAGAATTACAATTGGTCACACTGTGTATGCTGGAAAGACATTGTTTCCTTGGCAAGGTCGTAAATCACCAACATATTCTGCTGCTGCAGGTTCCCCAAAATGGATAACCCACTGGAACTCCCCATTGCCAAGCAAACAACCCCCATACTCGAATCCCCTATCATGTAGTTGTCACTTGGTAATTCTACATCCGCCCCCTCGAAATGGAATACCAACTTCGGCACCTCCACTTCCTTCGTATCTGAAGGCAAGTTGAAGCACACGTCTAACCCTGTACCGTCGGATTTGTCCACGGGAAGCTTCACCTGATCAGACAGTGACCAAGTCAGAAAAGATTCATTGGTGTCAATTAATCCTTTACTTGTGGTATACTTGAAATGTGCTTACCTGAGAGGTGAATTCTTCGGCCAACGCATCGAAGGCGCTTTCTTCAAGATAGGTAATCGTGGTACCAGAGTCGATTATCATGCCACCACTGCCATCCTCTTGGATAGAGAAGGTGGATTGCTTAATGGGCAATCGAGTGTCCCCTACGGAAATGCCTTGGAGGGGAAGGTAGTAAAAAGTTGGCTGTGATGGGTTTTTGAGTAATGGGGTGGTTAATAATGAGCTGCTGTCCACGCTTGCTGTAGATCCAATCAAGAGTTTGCTCTTTTTCGTGTCATCCACGGGCGTAAGACAGTAAGAAAATTTGGTTTCCTTCATCTGAGAAACCAGCGAGAGGGGTCCACGTCCTAGCCCCACAAGTCCTGCTCCCTGGCTGAACCCATCTCCCTGGTTTTCTTCTCCGCATCCGAACCCGACTTTACGAACCGAAGCATCTCCGAACGTGAATGTTTCGGTGGCCATGAACCCCTGCGTGGTGGAATAGTCACCGTAGCTATAGAGATACTCGCAACCGTCGCGGTCGCATGTGGACTGGGGTAGGGCTTCACAGAGATCACTGGAGCAAGATAACTTGGAGAAGGAAGATGATTTTTTCGGATCAAAAATGGGCGTGGGCTGCTGAAAACACTCCGTGCAAGGCTTGCACTGCGTCCATATCAGATCACTTCCCGTATCCAAGATTGCAGAGTAACTATCTGGTGGCGTCCCAATGGATAAGTCCATGAGATACTCACCGTTTCCAGCCATGATGGGAGATTGAACTTGATCATCAACCGCCGCCGCAAGAACCATCGAATTGAACCTCTGCAACCTGTTATTACCGCGCTTGATCCCTCGCTGGATACGCTCGAACTTGGTCAAGTTCTTACCAGAATCCACATGACGGAGAGTGACAGTGAAGGCAGTTTTTTTAAGCTGATCCAACGCTCTCCTGGAGGTGGAACTAACCTGAGAAAAACATAATGCCATTAATGCTAGAAAAAAGATAGAATGTAGTAGGGTCGAATTAGCCATTCTGCAAATTAAGGAAAGCGATGAGAGTGAGAGATGGAAAAAAACTGGCGACTGAGGAGTGGGGATATGGGATCGATGAGTAATGCTTATATATATAAGCTGCAGGAAATGGTCTTTTGGATCTCGAGAGAGGGACGCGAATGGAGCAAGAAATTAAGATTGCGAAGCAAGCGCAGAGGCGAAAGAATTGGGCTTCTGATCAACTCATGCGTGGGGGTTGGGACAATTCAACATGCAAAAATATTGTGATCACCAACAACAGATTTGTGTGCAAGTATTACACGCCTTTCCATAATAAACTAATTTTCTGGGAAATGTTTTGCTCATAATCATATCAAAGTATATTTAGTTTAAGGGAGAAGTTTTGACACAAGGATTTTTGTTAGAGAGGTAGGTGGGCTAACTGGTTTACTACCTATATTGGTGAACAAACTTGGTTTGATGGCCCTTTTATGGTTAGGTGAGATAATGTAAGCATTTTTATTCATTTCAAATAAACTTAATTTAGTTTACTTAACAATCAAATTGCATTAATTATTTAATGTTGTTATTGTCCTCAAAGATAATATTAATAATCATAACACA